CATCTTCGATAACTTTCAGTTTCTCTCTACGGCAATCTTGTTTGTGCATGGGCGTTATCTGCGAAATTATATAATTGCTCATTCCACTTATTATTTAGCTTTTGCAAAACGTTAGTTTTTTTTGGATAACACACTTCTGTAAAAAATGCTGGCCCATTTTTTCCCCTTCAACTCTACCTCTGCGTTGTATGGACTTTAGGAGCACAACTTCTGTACTTTTTTTGCCTCACCTACAATATAAAGCTTCGAATCTCCCTAACCAACGGTTACAGCTGAGGCCTCGAAGCGCCGTTTCTCAGAGATCAACTAGGGCGAATGAAGCTATAACTCGTCCTTTCATCTCATTTACCCGGTCTCATCATCTCTCCATCTGGCCTATTGCTCTGCTGACTCGCTTGCATCGAAGCAACGAATTCTACAAATGGCTTGAGGGCAATGCCCTCTTCGAACAAGAACGTGCATATCTTGTCCACGACCCCGTCTGTGCGGCTTCACTACACAACCTGTTGGTCCTCACGTGCCAACGGCGAGAAGTAAACCGGGCAATTAGGCGCATTACTTATGCAAATTTCCTTGTCGGGTCAGGCTTAATTTGTCAACTCCGTGGCCAAAAGCCCAGAAATTGGCCAGTATGACTGTGTGGCGCAATCCATGTGCACGTTGTGGATGTGTAAGGGTGCCCGCTTGTCTGGGCAAGAATGGCTAAGGAATGCAAAATTCTACATAAAAGTTGCCCTCCAGGTCACAACGAGTATTATCATAATGGCGACAGCACACGCAACTACATAAACTGGCACTCATGCTCGCATTATCCACTCAGTCGCGACGTATTCTTTCTGCGTTTGCCTTGGTGACACTTTATTTTCGTCGGGTTATTCAACATGGCCAGCCTCTGATACTGGCGCCACTTTCTGTAGTGTTGGCCATTTTGTAATAAGACTCCCAGTTCTTCGAATATTTCACTCAGATACTCTGATCTGCCAGTAGTTTCATATGCGTTTTCCATAACTCATGCTTGAAATCAGCCCTCACACAAAATACCCCTTATTATGCACACTCGGGGACAGAGATACAGCTCTGAGACTACTTTTTAAGCAACTATAAAGGACTGACATGCTTGTCTATACCCATCCTCAAAAAGGAAAGG